TTCCTTTATGAAAGAATATAACATATTTTCATAACCAGCTAATGAGTGCTCTTTCTCTCTGGGAGCTCTGGGCTGTTGGGGTCCAGGAGCGCTAACCCAGGGTGTCCTTTAGGGCCCTGTCCAACTCCTCCTCCAGAGGGGCCCACACACCAGACTTGTGCCTGTCCAGGCCAAGCTCAGGTCCTAAGGCCTGGGTCCCCAGGGGAACCTGGGCTAGGGAAAGAGCACTCGCTGGGCCACCTGGCTCCAGCTCTGTCCACAGCTGTAATCTCCCAGAATGCCTCGCAGCCCTGCCCTTGGCAATCCCACCACGGCTCCAGGGACTGGGCAGAGGTGCCCTCCCTCCATGCCCGTACCTCATTTCTTTAAAATCTCTGCTTCCTCCAGCCCCCTTTTTGTGGTACCAGGGATTGAACTTGGGACCTTGTGCTTGCCAGGCAGGCGCTTAGGGTGCTGAACTGTACCTTCCCTCCTCAGCCCTTTTTATTGTTTTTAGTATAAGCCTGCTGCAAGCCCTTTTTTGCAAGCCCTCTCAGATCACTTTTGGGTGGCAGCAGGTTCCTGGGTCCAGGCAAATGGCAGCTCAGGTGCCACAGCCACCCTGGACCTGGTTTCCTCTGTCACATCTCAGGTGTGGGTGACTCGGGGTGGCTCCAGATCCCTCTGGGCTGGGCCCAGAAGCTAAGTCAGGGCCCAGCTTAGGGGAGGGAGGCAGGTGGTGTGCCAGTGCCCAGGTGCTGAGGTCTGGAGGCGGCAGTGGAGGCTGAAGCTGTGTCATTGCTGTCGGAGGTCCTATCCATAGAGGCACTGTTCCCACTCGCCTGGATGGTGCCCAGTGCCCAGGGCAGCGGCTAAAGCCACGCCCACAAGGCCAAGGGCAGACTTATGGGGACCCCCTTGGCTCAGGGATCCTTCCTCTTGGAGGGGCACTGAGGACACTGTGAAGAGCTGGTCCCCTGTTCCCTGGTGGGGGGAGCCTGTGTCCAAGGACAGCGTGGGTCAGGAGCTGGAGCCCCTGCCCCCTGGCAAGTTCCTAACGTCTCTGGATGCTGAACCTCTTCTGCAAACAGAGACCATGGTCCGGCTGCACAGGACAAAGACACCTCAATGTTCCAGGCCTCAGGCTGCTCCCTGCTTCCACCTCCCTGAGCACAGAGCTGTGGCAGAATGCTTCCTGTCCAATCCTGCTCCTCGAGAGTGACTCCAGTGCCTGCCAGCTGGGGCCAAGCCTCCGATCCGGTGACCCTCAAGTCTTTTGAAAAGATTCATGGGAAATTATTCTCCTTAATTATTTTTATGTTTAATTATTAGCTGACACATGACATTCATTTATGGGATAGAAAGTGACCTTACGCTTTATGAATACAATGGGGAACAATTACATCAAGCTAATTAACACACGTAGCACCCATTGATTCAAACATTTTTTTGGAAAAGCTTTGGAAATTTATTTTCTTGGTTGTTTTGAAATGTGTAACTCTGTAAGTGATTACTGCATTCAACTCACCACACCAGGCAATATATTCTGGCTGACGCCTGCACCCCCTGCCACCCCACCCGCCCTCTGCAGGCCACCTTCTGCTACTCCTTCGAGCTCATCTGCTCCATCTTCGTACACAACGAGGACACGCGGTACTCTGTCTGGTGTGCCTGGCTCCTTTCATGTTGCACAGTGTCCTCCAGTGCCAGTCAGGAGAGCAAAATGCCAGCCCTGCCCACCTTTTCCAGGCTGGATTGTATTCCACACTGTCTACGATCCCATCTTTTTATCTATTCATCCATCTGTGATGGACGTTTAGGCAGCACCTAGCTACTGCGACCAGCGCAGCAGGAATCAACATGCTGATTCCAACTTGAGGGGGCCTGCAGGTTAGCTCAGTTGTTTAAGCACCTGCTCATGCAAATGCAGTCAGGTGCAGGATACCATGGTTCGAACCCCACCTCTGCCTGCCCTCTCAGACCGGCCCTTAAGGCAGGCTGAGCCAGCACCTCCCCAAAAAAAAATCCTTCTAATTCCAACTTGATGGGGTTTCAGTCCAGTAGTGCTGGTTTGTAAGGTCTCCTGCCCTTCCCCTCCCCTTTTCCCCTCCCCCTCACTCCTGTTCCCTCTTCTCTGCAGGGACCCAGCTGAGCTCCAGTGTCCCAACCACAGATATAGAGGTTTCCAGAAGAAAGCCTCTCACATCCCTCCTGCCTGGCTCAGCAGGATCCACAGGCCCCTGTTCATCCAGCCCCTCTGCCCTGCCCACCCTGCCCAGCCTGTCCGGCTTCCCCTTGGTTTCCTCTGCCTACGCTCCTCAGCCCAATCCCATCCTCCACGCCCAGCATCTCTGTCCAGCACACGGAGGAAGATCTAGAGACACAGCTCCACCCTGCACCAGTACATCCCCTGACAGTCCAGAGCTGGAAATGGAACACAGTGCAGCACGGTTCTCTAATTCACAGTTCACACATGAATGTGGCCAGGTATCCTGATAATGCCTTTGTGAGCACACGGGCGTGTGGATAAGGCGTTCCAGTCGTCCCGAAGTCAAACTCAAATAGGAAGATAACGGTCAGCACCCACACCTTCTACGCAACCCCACTCACCTCTTGAGACACTAACCTCGAGCCAGGGGTGGTGGCTCAGGCCTAAAATCCCAGCACTGGGGAGGCTGAGGCACGGGGATCCTCTTGAGCGCAACACCAGCCTGGGCTACTAAGTGAGTCAAGGCCAGCCTGAGCTGCACAGTGAGACCCTGCCTCAAAAAGATAAAATAAGATAGCAGGCAGATTTCCGACTATTTCCTTTGTCCCTGACTTTCTTCTGCAAGGTGGCTCTCTGGAATGCCGTCTGCACTTTGTCACTTAACCATGCATTTCTGCTATGTCACCGACCTGGCTTCGCTGTGTCTCGGCGATACCTCTGGTCTCCTCTCCAAACCCCCAGAAGGCCCTGCCCAGAAGCCCTGCCTCCCCTCCCGCAGCCCTGTGGACCCCTGCAGCTGGAGCCCAGGCCCCACTCCCACTCCCGCACCCCCAGCCCCAGGGCCCGTCAGGAAGCCTGCAGACTCCCAGCTCTGCCTCTCTCTGGCTGGGCTCCCGTTTGTGCCTCAGTTTCTTCATCTGTCCAATGGGACTGCTCTCACAGGACAGAGCACGAGTGCTGCACAGTGTTTTCTTTGCAGTGAACAACACTGCAACGTGTTGCCAACTCATGGAGGTTCCCCCAAGTCTCTCCTGACCCCCAGCTCCCGCTGTCATGACAAGAGACCCCCGGAGAGTTCTGTCCCCAAGCAGGGCTGCTCAGCAGATGCCCCTCATCTGTCTTCCTTTACTATTCTGTGCAGTGCCCCATCATGACCCACATGACTTCTGAAATGGAGGCTGATGTTGACAGAGTGCGGCTTCCACATTTGCACGGGTGGCTGTCACGGTTTATGTCTAGTTGTTCCCTCAAAGCCTCCTACAGTCATCGGGGCGGGCTCGTGGAGACTGATTAGTTCATGATCCAGTGCTGGGATTAAGCCTATAAGTACTACACCAATGGATAGCCTGAACGCAATATAAGGTCGGGAGACAGGCTCTGTCTCTGTTGCTGCCGCTGCTGCCGCCGCCGCCGCCACCGCCGCTGCCTCTGCTCCTTCCCCCCACCTCTTGCTGTTTTACTGTTTTCCGCCTCCACCAATGACTGTGCTCTTCCCTGTGCCACTCTGGCGTGGAGCCAGCCGAGTATGGACTGAAACCTCCACAAATGGTAAGCTAAATAAACCCTTCCTTCCTTCATTTTGCGTGTTGGGTATTTTGTCCCAGCAATGAGACAAGAGTAACTGAGACAGTGGCTGTGTGCAGCAGGCCTCTCCCGAGGCCTCCCTGACCCTTTCCAGATTCTGTACCTTCCCATCCCCCTAGGAAGAGTCTCCCGTGCCCCTGCCTGGGGTGCTGCTGCCTGTCCTTCTCCTGGTGTCCTCCCTCCTTCTGATGGGCTCTAGGGACTTTCTGGGCACTTTACATCCCCTGTCCACCTTGCCTTCCGGTGGAGGCACATCTGGCTGGTTCTTTGCTTCCCTGGGTCTCCATCTGTCTCTACCTGTGTCACGGTGATGGCCCCTACCTGCACAGTGTCCCCTGCTGTCCCCGGCCATCAGCCCTGACCCCTGAGACTGGGCAGCTGATGGTAGGTCTGTATTTGGGGGTGTGGGGAGCAGAGCAGGAAGGGCTCCGTAGGTCTGCGCAGCTTCAGGTGTTCTGGCCTGTTTTTAGGGTCCAGAAGCCTTCTCCAGCCATCGCCTGGGTATTTTAGGGTCCCAACAGCATCAGCATGAACTAGCAGTTGGCAGATGCTTTCAACAAGTATGTCCTCAAAGTTTTTGTATTAAATTTCTTAAAAAGGTTTTTTTCCTCTCATTTCAAATCAACTTCATGGGGGGGGGTGGTAAAGCAAGTCACCCATCCGACTACAACCTTTTAGAAAAGTTGTCATTTTGTTAAAATATTCTACCTAAGTTTGATCTAAAAGTGTGTGAACTATTCTTTAGTGTATTTATAAGGGTGAACTCAGTTCCTGAAATTAAGCTTTTACTTGAGGGGAAAAAAAAAAAAAAAAAAGGATAGGGTCGCTGAATTCAGGGCAGGGGCCAGGTCCAGGTGTCCTCTCCCTGGCTGTCATTTCTGGCCACACCCAATGTCCTCACTGGAAAAAACGAGAGTGGAGAGAGTCTCTGCCAAGGCCACCAAGAGTCGGGCGGTTCTGGGCTCCAGTCCTGGGTGCTGCCTTGCAGAAATCTGTGGCCTTAGTGGGCGTGGGGCTTCTGGGGCACAGCTGGCCTGGGGGGTTGTTGTTATTGGCTGGGCCAACACTGACTCAGGCTGCACTGGGGCAGGGCCCAGGACATCGGGGCAGAGAGCTGCAGGCCCTCGTGGAGTGCACACCTGGGCTCCAGCCCCTGGCAGCCCTGTGGCCTCCCCAGAGCAGACAGCCACCCTTCACACAGCCGATCCTTTTCCTGGCCCTTCCCGCCATGGGCTTCATGGAGGAGGGAGGCAGCTGGAGCCTGTCCTTCGCCGGCGCTGGGTTCCTTGCCCTCTACCATGTGGGGGTGATCCACTGCCTGAGCCAGCACGCCCCGCGACTCATCCAGGGCGCCGACCGCCTCTACGGCTCCTCGGCAGGAGCCCTGTCAGCCATCAGCATTATCTGCAACAAGTCTGTGGGTGCGTCTGGGGCTGCGGGGTGAGGGGAGGACCCAAAGCTGGGGGATCCCCAGAGGAGGCGTGCTCTTCGGGGGCACAGGTAGCTCTGCCTGGCTATGTCATGAGGGTTCCCCACTCAGCATGTCCCATCCCAGTGCCTGTTTCACCTAGGGATGGTGGTTGCCCCATTTGCAAAGCAGGGAGCCTGAGCTCAGAGCCAGAAGATGCTCCTGGTCCCTTGGGGACAGATGGCCGGAGAAGCCTCCGAATCTCTGTGTAGCAGGGAGCTTCTGGGGAGCAGAGGGGAGGGCCTTCCCTGTGCCCCGGGCTAAGGCCTCACTGCCTCCACCAACCCACAGACTTCTGCTGTTCCCACCTCCTGGGCATGGTAAAGCGAGTGGAGCAGCTAAGCCTAGGCATCTTCCACCCGGCCTTCGCGCCCATAGAGCACATCCGGCAGAAGCTGCGGGACGAACTGCCTGAGAACTGCCACATCCTGGCCTCGAAGAGGCTGGGCATCTCACTGACCCGCTGGCCTGATGGCCACAACGTCATAGTCACCGACTTTGCCACCAAAGAGGAGCTCATCCAGGTGATGGCGCAGGGACTCGGGTCTGGATGGCAATGGGTGGGGCTTCACCTGGTGCCGGGGGTGGGGGATGGGGGTGTCAGGGGCTTCTAGGTGCTTAGGGGGGCAGGTGCCCCTGGGGGAGCTAGCGAGTGTGTGGCGAGAGGGCCAGGTGCCCAAAGGAAGGCAGGGGAGGGCACTCACTTAGGCGCCCTTGGGTATGCAGGAGTCAGATCCCCTGGGGGCTGGTCTTTCCAGAGGGTGCTTGCCCATCCCTCTTGCCCCCTCCACAGGGTGCTTTTAGAACCAATGGACTTTTGTTGAGCACCAGTTATAGCGGGCCCTTGACTATCCATGGGAAAAGGACAGGTGAAAGTTCTGCCTCCTTAGGACTCGCATCTCAAGTGGCAGAGCTCAGAGAAGGAGCCAGGGAAGGAATCAACCCAGGGGCTAGAGGAAGCTCCCGGCAAGCGGGGAGGGAGGAACACTTCTGTTTGGCTGCGGGGGTAAAGGGAGGGGTCATCAGCAGAGGAGGGGAGTGGGCGTCCTCACTGAGACCCTGCTGGATGCCTGGGTCCCTCATGCACACCTGAGACCAGAGTCAGTGCCCATGCGCAGGGGAGCACATGCAGGAGCTGGTGTGGAACCATGGATAACATCGTGCCTGTCCCGTTACTGTGTCCCCAGGCCATAATCTGCACCCTGTTCTTCCCCTTCTACTGTGGGACAATCCCCCCTGAGTTCCGAGGGGAGGTGAGTGCAGCCTGGGGGTGTGATGTCCTCCCCCTCCCTGTGTTTGGGGTGCGGAAGGGCTGGGGGAGCCCATGGCTGGCGGAGGTCCCGTTTCCTGGGCGCCTGCTGATATGAGCCCTCCCGGCCTGTCCAGGCTGGAGTGGGTGGGTGGGGGCCACTTCTGGGTACGTTCTTGTGACTGGGGGGATATGGGCACTCTGCAAAACCCTCCCAGCCCACCCGTCTCCCTGAATTGCAGCGCTACATCGATGGAGCGCTGAGTAACAACATGCCCTTTGCGAACTGCCCCTCCACCATCACTGTCTCGCCCTTCCACGGCACCGTGGACATCTGTCCCCAGAGCCCCTCGGCCAGCCTGCACGAGCTGAACGCCTTCAACGCTGCCTTCCAAATCTCCACCACCAACTTCCACCTGGGCTGGATATCTCTCTTACCCCCCAAACCGGAGGTAGGTCTGGCCCCCCCCAGGGCAGAAGCACCGCCAGGGCTCTGGGCCCCGCCCTCAGCCTCTGCTGGCCGGGCCGAGTGCCCTTGTTGCAACTTGGCCTGGGCTCCAAAGCTTGGGGCCCGAGTTGTGCCTCTGCTGTCCCTCCCAGCCCTTCTGAGCATCTAGAGAAGACTGGTCCTGGTCCCCATCTCAAGGGATTGTGGGGGCGGGAGCCGGGCCTTGGCCTGTGTCAGCCACCCTGAAGGCTCTGTGAGCAGGTCCTGGTCATCCTCACCTCTCGGAGGACAGAAGGCCCAGAGAGGCTGATGAGCTTGTTCTGAGCCACACAGCTGGGCTGAGCTGCAAAGACAAGACAGAGACTCTGCTCTTGGCCACTGTCCTAGATGGTGTCTAAACTGGCCGTCAGTTGTGGAGGTGCAGGCGCACGAAGAAATGGACGATAAGCTCCCGTTTCCTGAGCTTCAGTGTTGGAGTTTCCTGAAGATGCAGTTGGACGCCAGCCCTCCGCGGGTGCAGTGCAGAAGGCTGCATTCCCCCGCAGAACGCTGTCCTGGCCTCAGCCCTCCTGTCGGCCTAGTGCTTTATCGTTTCCGTAGAGGATGCCTCCTGTGCCCTGGTCCTCCCCACACCCTGAGTGGACAGAGCCCTCCGGATGGGAGACTGAGGCCCTCAGAGTGTGGCTGGTGTTCTCCTGGTGGGCCTGGCTCTTGGTATCCTGCCTGTGTCTGCTGATCCTGGACATGTGCGCCCAAGTGGTGGAGAAGGCCACTGCTGTGTGACCACACGAGCGAGGCGAAGGCCCCACCAGCCCAGCAGGGCCCACTTACCCCATGGTTATCCAGGGACAGGGCCTGCAGAGCCAGAATGCAGGAGTTTGGAAGGGGGGCAGAGTCAGGCAGGTCCGGGTCATCTGCAGGAGTGGTTGGACAGGGCTAGGCTTCGGCAGGCTAAAGACAAACCTTGGCCTGTGACCCCTGCCCTCTGTCTTCAGGTGGTGGCTGACATCTCCAGGCAGGGCTACCTGGATGCCCTCAGGTTCCTGGAGCAACGCGGTAGGTGTCAGGGATGGCATCTCACAGAGCACCGGGTGGCTGGGTGGCTGCTGTCTTGGGGTGTTTGAGCCACCAGGGCCCCGGCCTTAAACTCCTTCCTACTTGTATCTGCGGAATGCTTGGCCCAAGCTGGATGCTGGGGACCAGGGAGGATCCACACCCAGGTCCCATGCTGCAGCTTCCTGAAGCCTGGTGTGGAGAGACAGGGTCAGGCCCAGAGGGTAGACCTAGGAACCGGAGCGTGGTGAAGGGGATGATCAGTGCTGGGCAGTGGAGAGAGCATTTGGCGTGGGCTGGGTGGAGAAGGTGAGCACGTCCTGGAGGCAGAAGCAGGGGAAAGAGCCTTCTATGCAGAGTAGGGCAGAGGCTGCACCTCCAGGGCATGGAGCTGGGTGGGCAGGAGCCCCTGGGCAGCGCTTGACCCAAGCACTGCAGCTTTCCTAACCTGAGCTCTCAGAAGAGCGCTGAACCACAGGTCTCAGTTCTCCTTTTGCCAAGATGTAAACTGAGGCAGGGCGGGGTTAGGCCTCATAGCTGGCAGGTGTGAGGTGAGTACCGACCCTGGGTGTGGGCTCTCTTGACTCGCAGAGAGAGGAAGCAGAGGGGGTGGGAGGAGGGCAGGAAGGCCTGTCCCAGGGGAGCCCTGGGCCCACAGGGGTGAGGCTGCGTGCCAAGGCTGGGCTCTGTCCCTCCCCTCCCCCGCAACTCCGACCCTCAGTCAATCTGTCCTCCCCTCACTGGCCCAGGTCTCATCAAGAAGCTGCTGCCATGGCCGCTGCCATCCAAGGAGCGGTCCCTCCCTGTCCAGGACAGTGACGGGGGAGCCAACTGGGATGTACCATATGTACGTGTGAAGGACGTGCCCGACTTCCAGCAGCTTGCACCTGAGCTGGAGGCTGGTATGACCCTTCCCACACTCACTCCGGCAGGGTCAGGGCCAGGCACCCTGCTCCCGGGCCACCAGGCTCATCTGCTGAGCACCTGAATGCTGGGTATGGGGCTATTCCCCGCTGTGGCACGGGAACTCAACCCAAGGCCTTAGGACTGGGCTACATCCCCAGACCTTTTTATTTAAGTTTTATTTTGAGACAAGGCCTCAATGAATTGCCCAAGCTGGGTTTGAATTTGAGATCCTCCTGCCTCAGCCTCCCCTAGTGCAGAGCTTCCAGGTGTGCATCACCATGTCCGGCCTGCAGGGGCTTTCTACACAGGGTGGCCCTCAGCCTTCACAGATGATCCAGCTCGTGTGACTCCCAGCCCTTTCTAGTGGCGAGGGGAAGGGGCTTGGCAGAGCCAGAGCCCACATCTGTGGGATTTGAACTCAGGTCTGTACCCGAGAGAGCCAGGTCTCTGTCCACTGCCCAGGACTCAGCAGGAGGTACCGAGGGACACAAGACAGAGACACAGGGAGGGAGGATTCTGCACCTCCAGAGGGGAAGGGCTCCTGTCAGCCTCCAGCAAGACTCTGAGGATGGGACAGAATTGTTCCCAGGGCCAAGAAGGCAACTGTTGCACAGAGGTGTTGTGTAATCCACGCAAGTGTGCACAGTTGGCAGATGACCCCGTGAGGCTCTGCTCCAGAGCCTTTAGCCTGCTGTCCTGCCGGGTGGCTAAGTGTCACACCTGCGCAAGGCATGTAGGCAGTGGACTGGGGCCAGCTTGATAGGCATCTAAGAGAAACTGGAGAAGCAACCTTGGCCATGCAGAGTGGGGCAGGGGGAACACGTGCAGAGGTCCTGGGGCTGGCGGGGGGGTCCATGTGGCTGCAGCACAGGGATCCAGGGACACTGTAGAGATGAGCTTGGCCTCAGAGGCTATGTCCTTGAGACCTACCTTGTGTGTCCCTGTCACAGCTGAGGAACAGAGGTTGGAGAGCAGCAGGGATGTGGCAGCGTGAGGCTGGGAGGAGAGGGGTGGTGGTCAAGGCCAGCAGAGACAGGAGAAGAATGAATGGCTTTGTAGTGTGTGGAGTCCTAGGAGTGGAGCTCTGGGCTGGGAGTGCCAGCAGGACCCTGAGAGCTGCCTGTCCCCCACCTGAAGCTGGCTGGGGGCATCTTTCCTGGCCCTTGATCCTCCCCTGCTTGCCCAAGAGAAGGGTCATGCCTGTCCCCAGGTCCCAGGGGCTCAGGGCAGGGAAAGACCCATCCTAGCCTGAGTTGGATGTGTCATTTCAAGACAGCACTGGGGCTAGGACTGGGGGTCACTGCAGCTCACAGAGGCTGGAGAATAACACTGCTGTGTCACTCTTGAAGGGGGAACCTGTCCCCAGATGCAGGGGTGGAGGAGACCATGGAAGTATGGGTGGTCTGGCCGTTGCTTCCTTGTGCAAGAAGTCAAGTGAAGTCATTGCTCCTCTCTGACCTCGGTCTTCCACCTATGACGCAGCCAGCAGAGTTTGTGCTCTGCAGAAGGTGGCATACAGGGTGCCATTTGGGGACCTGCTGGGATACAAGGAGGTGTGGAGGGCTGTTGTGGGTGGTGCTGGCCCCGGGGGACCATGTGGCACTGTCTCTACAGCGCTGAAGAAGGCATGTCAGAGGGACTCCAGTGCCTGGGCACGCTTCCGCCGCTCAGGGCCTGGGTGGGCGCTGACTTACCTGCTGCTGCCCTGGTCACTGCCCTTCGAGTACGCCTACTACCGGAGCTGGAGGTGGGTCTCAGGTAGGGTGGGTGGTGGGGTGGGGGAGTCACAGAGGACAGAGAAGTAGGAGGGCTGATGGGTGGTGGCACCTGGGCCCCACCCTGTCTCTGGGACTGTGGCCATCGCCGCACTCCCAGGGCTTCAGTGACCCTTGCGGCTGGTCTGCTCGCCCCTCATCCCCGTAAGCCACATGGCCCAGGCTTCTCTCTGATCTCTCAGGGCCACACCTGCCCTTTTCTATAAAGCAGGACCCTCCCGGGTCAGCCCAGCTGGAATGAGGCACCACTCTGATTTGCTGGTGAATGGACAGTCCTGTGACCCTGGATCATTCACTACTGTCATGGGTGTCAGAGGCCACAGCCCAGCTGGGGTCCAGCAGGCAGCAAGGACCCAGACCCCTTCCTGGCCCTGTGGAGCTCTCAGCCCACTGGCTCTCATGTGGCTCTTCCTGGAGACACCCAGGTGGAGTCTCCACTGCTCCCGGCTGGCTCAGCTCACACTAGCAGCTCTTTGGCCAGGCAGAGTTGCCCCCAGGAAATGCCTTTGGAGCTATAATTGGAAGGGTAGTGAGAATTCCGTAGGCAAAGGGGAAGGCAAAGGCATCACGGGTAGATGACACCGCAGGCACGAAGGGCCTGGGACAGCAGGGAGTAAGTTGCATTTAAGGAACAAAAGGGGAGGCCAACAAGCATCTGGCATGGTGCCCACCACGGGCAGTGGTGGCTGCAAGATACGCAGGACCCTGCCGCCAGCTGTGTGAGCTCATTATCCTGAGAGGGGCGGTGAGACAGGGAAGGGTCAAGCAGGCAGCATCGTAGGGAGATCCACGTCTTGGGCCTGGGGATGTAGCTCAGTAGAGCAAGGCTTGCCTGGCAAGCGCAGGGTCCTGAATTCAATCCCCGGTACCACAAAACAAAAACAAAAACACAAAAACAAAACAAAACAACAACAACAAAACCCCTCAAGGGCCAGCTAGATAGCTCAGCAGACTAAAGCACCTGCTTAGGCAGAACGCAGTGCCAGGGTTGGATCCCCTGCATGCTGTCCCGGTCCCACCCCTGGGGTGTGCTGAGACGGCGATTGAGACTAGGCACCACGTGACTGTAATCCCAGTGCTTGGGAGGCTGAAAACAGGAGGATCACTATGAGTTCAATCTACGTGGTGAGACCCTGAACACCCTGTAGACCCTGTACCAAATACAGAAATCAATAAAATTAAAAAATAAAAATTCTCTACTCCCTGGAAGAAGGTCTATGATCAGGAGCCACTGGTCTCTGTCCTGCTCCATGCTCTGTTAATGCTAGGTCAGCCCAGCTGCTTAAACCACCAGCTGTTCATCTGCTCTGGAAGGCTGAGGCAGGAGAATCACAGGTTCAAGCCTCAACTCACAGACTCTGTGAGACCCTTTCTTAAAATTAAAAATAAAAAAGCAGGCTAGGTGTGTAGCTCAGTGTGCAGGCCCTGGATTCAATCTTGTTTTTAGTTTTTTATTTTAATCTTCTTTATTTATTTGGCACAGGGTCTCACTATGCAGCTCAGACTCATAGTGATCTTCCTGTCTCAGCTTCCCTAGCACTGGGATTATAGGCATGTGCCACCATGCCAGGTTTTGGTGGCTGGCATGGCATGCAGTACCAGGGACAGAACCTGGTCCTTGCACTTGCAGGCAGGCACTTAAGCCATTGAACTATCTGTCCGGGCCCTCAACCCACAGTTGTAAACTAAAAAAGGGAAGTCTAGTCTTTTTCAGTGGAAAAAACAAACCCATGTGTAAGCCTGCACAATCCCAGCACTTGGGAGGCTGAGGCAGGAGAACTGCAGCAAGGCCAGGCCACCCTGTGCTGCATAGTGAGTTTGAAGCCAGCCTGGGCTACACAGCAAGACTTTGTCTTCAAAATAAAGTCTATTACAGAAGGTGCCCCGAAAGCTGCTTTGAGGCTCTGCCCTGGGCAACCCCCACCCTGTCTCTGGGCCCCATTCCCCCAGTACCTTGGCTCCAGCAGGGTGGTCCCCACCAGCCTGGCTTACCCCACAGAGCTGATGCAGTGCCTCCCCACCCCCCAGACTGGCCCTGTGGCTGCCTGAGGCACCAACTGACCTGCTGTGGATGTGGGACCAGATGAAGGGCGCGGCACATGGGGTCTTCTGCCTGGTGAAGGCTGGGCTCAGGTGAGGGCAGGAGGCCCAGCAGGGCTGGGCAGGTGCCGAGGGTCCCACCCCGCGACTCTCCTGGAGGTTGAGCAGGTGCCTGCTGTCCTCCTGGATGTCCCTGGGGATCTCAGAAGGCTGGCCCATGTGTCTGGGGACTGCCTGGCTCCCCCCCCCCGCCCTACTTTCTGGGCCACCCAGAGGCGCCCAGGTCTCTCCTCAGGGGAGTGGGACTGGGGCAACTTAGACGTGAATGCAAGGTACATTTGCTTTCCTTTCCTCCCACAGCCTGTCACTCGCCAGCACCAGAGACACTGGTTCCCGCCAGCCCAGGGCTGCAGGCACCGAGGTCTGGTCCACCCATCAAGCCTGCAGGGCACCAGGGGGCAGTTTCCCCTGAAGCCGGCTCCTGCCTGCATCCTGCACACCCACATTCACCCTCTGGCTGTGTGACCTGGGATTCTCTCCAGCCCCTGGGCAAGGAGGTGGTGGGGGTGCTGGTCAGATGTGAGTGCCCCCCCCAGGTCCTGTTCCAGGAAGACCACACCCTAGACCTGGGCACTTCTTTGAAAGAGCCTGATCTGGCCATACCCACAAGGCAACCTGCTGTCCTTCCTGCCTGTCTTCCACAAGGAGAAGGGGGAGCACATGGTGCACATGTGGCCTATGAACCATGACAAGCTATTTGTAGAGCTCAGTCCAGATGATGGGACCAGGACTGGATGTCCAGATCAGAGGGCAAACTGGAATGGCAGGAGCATGGTGTGGTGCTCCTCATGCCCTTCACCTTTCTGTCCTGCACTGGCCTTGGAGATGACCTCTGTGACCTCCAATTGCCCCGGGGTTGGGATGGGAGGCCCTGTAGGCAACAGAATGGAGGAGGAGCAGGAGAAAGTGTCCCTGCCGCAGGCTCTTTCAGTGCAACCTCCACCCTTCCCACTGCTCTTGATCAGGTGCAGAGGAAGCTGTGGGCACCAGGCCTCCTCTGGCCTCTCCTTGGGGCCACTGCTCTTCCTGTGCTCAGAGCAGAGCCCACACTGTATCCCAGACAGACTTTTGGGGATGCTCAGCCCCCAGGGGAGATGGGGCGCATGAGTGACAGAGGCACGAGCAAGGGAAGAAGGGACAAAGAAACGTGTGGCATAAGGGATGTCACTCATTCACTCACTCATCTGGCTTACAGACATAATGAGCTTGGCCTCTTAGAAACATGGCTATGAGCTTCACATAGGAAAATGCAAGGGATGATCAAAAATGTGGTGTGTAAAAATTATAGTGCTGGGGCTGGGGAGATAGCTCAGTTGAATAAGCACTTGCCTGGCAAGTGCAAGGGCCGGAGTTCAATTCCCAGCTCCATAA